GTATTTGCTAACAAGAAGTTTAATTTTTAATTTCATTTAAATTATGAAAGAAATATACACAAGTTTAATTAATTGAAGGGTCAGGTCATCTTTATTGATATAGATTTAAAGAAGAATAAATTATAAACATGCAAAGATAAATTTTAGAGATAATATTGATTGATTTATTAGAGATTTGTAATGACTCTATCTTTTATCAAGGCAAGATACAGGATATTTATATAAAATACATCAATATAAAATAGATATTTAATAAAAAGAAATATAATAAAATAAAGAAAATAATATATTAAAAAAATTAAAAAAATATAAGAAATTATAGATCACTAAGAAATTATAGAAATTAAAGAAATTACAGAAATTACAGAAATGATAAAAAAATTAAAAATTATAGTCATCAAGATCACCATTTGTCAATTATATTTGACGTAATATTATGTATTATAACAAGACTATCGCTAAGAATATTCATAGCAATACATTATAAAAATTACATTAATAAATAATATTTTTATAATATTTTTTAAGTAATTTATTCTAAAACTTTTTGTTCTTTTACTATATTTATGCAAGATTATATTATACATTTATTTGATCATTTTCACAGCTTTTTGATATCAATTAAAGGCCTTTTCTAAATTTATTTCTGCTTCTTCATATTTCTATATAATAATGTAAAATTATATTATGCATTTGTATCATTATTTTTAGCAGCTTTTTGATATCAAAAAAATCCTTCTCTAAATTTATTTCTGTTCCTTCACCATTTTTATATAATAATGCAAGATTAAATTATACATCTATTTAATCATTTTCAACAACTTTTTGATACTAATAAAAGGTCTTTTCTAAATTTATTTCTGTTTCTTCACCTTTTTTATATAATAATGCAAGATTATATTGTGCATTTGCATCATTATTCTCAGCAGCTTTTTGATACAAATAAAAGGTCTTTTCTAAATTTATTTCTGTTTCTTTACCATTTTTATATAATAATCCTAAGTTATTTTGTGCATCAATTTGATTATTTTTAGCAACTTTTTGATACCAATAAAAGATCTTTTCTAAATTTATTTCTGTTTCTTTACCATTTTTATATAATAATGCAAGATTAAATTGTGTATCTATTTGATCATTTTCAGCAGCTTTTTGATACAAATAAAAGGTCTTTTCTAAATTTATTTATGTTCCTTCACCATTTCTATATAAAAATGCAAGATTATATTATGCATTTGTATCATTATTCACAGCAGCTTTTTGAAACCAATAAAAAGCCTTTTCTAAATTTATTTCTGTTCCTTCACCTTTTATATATAATAATACAAGATTATATTATGCATTTGCATCATTATTCTCAACAGCTTTTTGATACCAATAAAAAGACTTTTCTAAATTTATATCTGTTCCTTCACCATTTTTATATAATAAACTTAAATTATTTTGTGCATTTATTTGACTATTTTCAGCAGCTTTTTGATACCAATAAAAGGTCTTTTCTAAATTTATTTCTGTTCCTTCACCTTTTTTAAATAATAATGCAAGATTAAATTGTGTATCTATTTGATCATTTTTAGCAGCTTTTTGATACCAATAAAAGGTCTTTTCTAAATTTATTTCTGTTCCTTCACCTTTTTTATATAATAATGCAAGATAAAATTGTGCAGATATATTATCATTTTCTGCTACTTTTTAAAAATAATAAAATGCAATTTTTATAATTTTGTTTTGTTTTATTTCCTAAGTAATTATTTAAACCAATTAGTTTTAATCCTTCAAAATATATTCTTTTATAAAATTTATTATATTTGTCTTTATTTATTTTAATATCTATATTATAATACTTTTTTAAAATATCTTTTGCAATAATATTTCCATTTTTTGCTGAATTATTATACCATTCTAAAGCTTGTTCTTTATTAACTTCTGTTCCAATTCCATAAAAAAAACAATTTCCTAGTTGATATTGTGCATCAGATATTCCTTTTTTTGCCAAAATTTTATAATACTTAAATGCTTTGTTATTATCTTTTTCAACACCTTTTCCTAATTTATAACAATCTGCTATATATAGTTTTGCAATAATGTTTCCATTTATAGCTGCTTTATAATACCAATAAATTGCTTTATTTTTATTTTGCTTTGTTCCGATACCATATTCAAAACAATGTCCTAAATAATATTGTCCTACAATACTTCCATTTTCTACAGATTTCTGATACCATATAAATGACAAACTTTTATCACATTCTATTCCATATCCATTATAATAACATTTAGCAAGATAAACTTGTGAAATTGTATAATTTTCTTTTGCTGCTTTATAAAATAATTCATAAGCTTTATTACTATCTTCATTTATACAAATATTGTAGTAATAAAATAATCCAAGAAACCATTTATATTGTGTATTTTGTTGTCTTCTTAGCCAATCTAAAAGATGTTCTATTTGGTTTAAACGAGATAACTTTTGCTTAATAAAATGGTTAATTTGATCAAATGCAACACCTTCATTATGTTTTTTAATTACAAATTTAATTAATTTATCAATAGTTATATGATTTATAAATATTGAATCAACTGAACCTTTTGATGAATTATCAACTTGAAATAGTGAACTTAAACGATTTTTATAGCCTGTTATACTTGATTGAGTAGTTATATTACTTTGCAAACTTGAACTGCTTTCATTAATAATATTATAAAAGTTGAAATCTTCAGATAATTCTAAATCCTCTAACTCCTCGTTTATTTCTTTACTTGATTTAAGGCTAAAATTATCTTTAATTGGTAATTCAATTTCTTCAAAATGATTTGGAATAATAATTTCACCGATTTCAAGAGAAATCATTGTTTTAAGAGTTGAAACAACTTTTTGCATATTAGGACGCATATCATTTTCGTATTTCCAACATTCTATTGAATAAAGATTAAAATTCGTTTTTATAAATAAAAAATAATTATTTATATTATTTACCTTGGTATAGATTACTATATTCAGGTGGAGTTTCATCAATAATATTTTCTCTCTTGCCATTTAGTATAGATAGAGATAAACATCCATCATAAGTAACGCCTTTAAAAGGTTGATATCCACTTGAAATTTGCCACATCAAAATTCCAATACTATAGACATCGGATTTTTTATTAAATTTGTAATCCATCTTTTTATCTAAACTTTTTGGATCCAAATAAGGTAATATACCTAAAACTTTCGATGCAATTCTTGATTCTTCAGCAAGTTTTTTTGATAAACCAAAATCTGCTAATTTAATCATTTTCTGATGTATAAGTATATTATCTGCATGCTATAATTTTTTCAATGAATTGTATATTTATTATCCAAAATCAATAAATAAATAATTAATTAATTTCAAAATAAAAAGTTAAATAGTCACCAGATCGCAATGAACAATATCACATTCGTGAATGAACTCCACTGCACTTGCCAATTGTAAAGCTAGATGATATTTGTCACTCCAATTAAGTTCATTAAAATGTTTATTTAAATAATCATTTAATGTTCCACCATCAGCATATTCCAAAACTAAAGAATACTTGTTTATTTGATGAATTGAGTTCGCTATTCATAAAAAAAAAAAATTATCGAAAAATTTAATATACTGTGTCAAAATTCTGTAATGATTTCTTTTAAATTTTACCAGTTATTTCCTTTGTGATACCACAAAATCGAACAATATTGGAATGAATATCAACTCTTTTATGCAATTTTATCTATAAAGAATTTAAAGAATTTTAATACATTAATTTCAAATTTATTAATAAATATTTAAAACATTATAATCATCTACCTCATTTACGACTTCTTTCAAAGTTATTGTATCGTTATTAAAAGATTTCAAAACAAAATAACGATCCGGAATTCTCCAATTCGCACGAATAACGCTTCCAAATGAGCCATTTCCGATTTCTGTTTTATTGTTGAAGTCCGAATATTTATAATGGATGAGGTATTCATCAGAAATTGATTTTTCTAACCAATCGATATAAATATTTGATATTTCAGGATTATTTGACATTTTTTTTTTTCTTCAATTTGGTGTAACTTATTGACTTTCCCTCCTTTAAATAAAAAAAATTTCGGAGTTAAAATTCCGAGTGATTTGCAGAGTAACCCACGTGATTTGTAAACTATTACTACGTTGCATGCTGCGCCATTTATTCCAGTGAAACTATATAATTCAATTTTGTATTTTGTTTATTTCATTCATTAATTTCACTTTAAATGGTATTAAATATATAATTCACCTTTCGCCTATTTCAATAAAGGTTCAACCTTTTTTTGAAATACATTTTTTTTTAATTAAAATATATTAAGCTGCATATAAACTAATACTATCATACCGAAAACCTAAACACCGAAGAAGGGTATACTTTTATATCCTGGATGAATAACCAACAAATTCAATTTTAGGTCAATGTTATCAATTTTTGACCCACAGTAAAATTCATTTACAAAAAAAAAACCCTGTTAGGAAAAAATTTTGTTGATCCCTGATAAGACGGTCGTAATCTTGAAAGAAACTCTTGATCCCTAACAAATAGTCATTATCCTTGAAAGAAATTATCGATCTCTAGCAAGTGATCATAACCTTAGGTTGAATTTTTGATCTTAGAAAGAAAACTATCAATCCTAGCAAGTGGTTATGATTCTTAGTTAAAATTCAATACCACGCAATTGGTACATCGAAAAAATCCTTTGATAATATCTCAAGCAGTCTTAATAAACTATTGATGTGATTTATCCTTGGATAATATAATTCGATCTCTAATAGCGACTGAATACCTCAGTTAAAAATTCAATGCTATCACAAATAGATCCTTTGAAATTTTTAGAAGAAATTCGATCCTATCGCAAAGTGATCTTAAGGCTTGACTGAAATTTAATACTGTCACATAGTGGTCGTGTTAAATTATCAAGTGGTCATGATGCTTGTAAAAAATTTCTTGTCGCAAGATTAGTCCTGTAGCAAATGTAGTCTTTATTCTAGAAAGTTTCCATCATAAGTGTCGTGATATTTGTTTCCGTAGTAAAGGGTTCTTGACTGAGAATTATTGATCTCTAGCAGTCGTTCATGATCCTCGAATTCAATTTCATCGCAATTGGTCATAATTTTTGGATGAACCTTCCTGTCGCAAAGTTGTCCCTAATCTAATAATCCAGTCATTATAATTTGACGATTGTTTAAAATTTTATTCTATTCTATTGTAAGTTGTCGGAGGAAACCCAGGGTAACTAACTATATTATTTATTTTTTTTAAAAAAATAATCTTATTTATTAATATAAAATTTTCAGTCTCTCTTTATAAGTGAAATAATAATAAAAATTAAAAACTTAATCGTCGAAAAATCGACTATATTAAAAATCCTGTCGAAAGTAATTTCGAACTTATTTTTTTTTTAAATAGGTTGAGATTTAATTCAAGTTAACTAACTATCTAATTTATTTTTATAGAATTGTGCATTAAAAAAACCAGAACTGCGGGATGATTTAAATGCCTCCCTTCATCAACTGTCTTAGATATTTATAGTAATTACTCGTTAAATTTTTTTAATTGGTTGAAATCGGTTTTCATCAATTAAAATACTTTACTTTCATTTTCGTCGGAATTTCATATGTTTATATAGTAAAATTTTTTTTTTATTAATTATATAAAAATCCCAACAATCCCTCTTTTCACATCACCCGCTATAATATATAAAGATTTCCACTTATGAAAGATGACTATGAAAGATGACTAGACCAGATGAAAATCGATCCCTGGCGAAACGTATGAAAGATTATCTATTATAAAGAAAAGGAAAATATGTAAAAGTTAGCAGGGAGTGACACACTCGCATTCCATGTCTAGGGAAGCAAATTCCTTTACATAAGCGACTATTCCTTGAGACTCGCTATGCTAACTATCTTGTAAACAGTATCATTAAAACTTTGGAAAATCAGGGAGCGCAGTTTACCTCGTTAACAATCTTTATCCGAAGACAAGATTCAGCCTATAGCCATCTTCTCCCTCCACAAAGAAGGAGTCTAAATACTCACAAGAATGAATGAACAAACAAATGAATTCTATTCATATTTATATTAAAAATTGAAAATTATGAAATTGTGGGATTTAAAGATCTTCACGATAAACACTAATTATGGAAATTTATGGTTGATCTATCTGTAACATGATTTAATATTAATAGCCCAGTCCAGTCTATTAAATTTTTATAATAAACATTTAAAAAACCGTTCATTAACATGACCAAAGATCACGTGTCCTTGGTAATAAATAAATTATTAAATTAAATGAAATTTAAAACATGTGTATTCGTTAAGATAGTGCGAACATGAACGGTTTAGGACAATTGCCAATACTTGGTAATGAGAGTTCTTATCCTGAACCCTAGAATTCATGATGATAAATATGACTCGAGCAAGAGATCTACCGATATAAACCAAATTTAACAACTTTTAAATTTTTTAATGTTTAAATATTAAAAAATTTCGAAACATTATATTGATACATAATACAAACGAATAATACTTTTACGAAGTCGGGAGATTCACAAATGAAGCATATTTTCTGCGAAACTGTAATCCTTCATATTGCCTTAAAATATTCACATACTTATTTATAACATATTTAGAGAAAGTGCAAGAATTAATTATTTATGTTACACGAAATCCATAAATTCAATCTTTTAAATTTAAAAATATTATTATGTGAATAAAATAAAACAAAAAATCACGGTTTCAACAAATATAACTTCTAGATTGTTATTATTAAAAAGAATTTTTTTAAAAAAAAAAATTTAGATTGAGGCTGTCATTAAAGCTTCTTGACGGTGTAATTTTTAAAATTCACGAAATGTATTTTTGCTAAGATTAATTTGAAAAGTAACAATTAATTTATTTATAATTACTAGCACAGTAATGGGATTCTGATGAACTACCCATTTTTCGTTGAGAGTAGGTAGGGTCGTGATGGTTTGTGTGATCATTATCTGATCGATAAATTGGTAAATTCAGGTCAAAAATTTAATTAAATTTGATATTTGAAGTGCAATAATCTTTTATTATACGCAGAAAGAAGGTGAGCTTATGGTGATTTGAAAGATTTTAAAAGATGCTTGTTTAGGGCAAATTATCGTATTTAGGAAGTTGATTTTTAAGTTTTGATAGTGATCATTTAAATCTATTATGAAATCGAGATTCAAGTTCGAGCATTTATTTATTATTATTAAATACCAAAAGAAAAATAAAATTATTCGATAATGTTATTCATATGATTTTCTCAGCGCGGAATGTGATATATTGTCTAGGAAAGAGAGAGTTGGATCTGGACGCATCGTGGAACCTTTAATATTATTCGATAACGTCTGGATCTGTCATGTAAGCGGATATGTCAAGATGGGAGATGTCAATCTTCTTTCAGGTGGAACATCTACTGGGTGTCCAAACGGTATTGTTTATTATAAAAAAATTTGCAATTGCTTTGTTCATAATTAAAATTCTATTAAAATCCGTATGACAATTTTTTTTAAAAACAAATCTCTCTCTTTTCAATCAATCCACCAAGCGATTTACTTAGCAAGATTAACAGTCAATAATTCCACAAAATTTATTTCTTAGCTCTTCATAGCGGCACTTTTTTGAATAATAGGTTAAAGTTAAATATGTGCAATGAAATGATTCTTCATAAATCATTTCTTTACATTGTGTACAATATCATCGAAGTAAATCTTCAATGAACAAAATGGAAAGGAGAAAAGTCGAAAGATTTTTTTTTTAAAAAAAAAGGTGATCTCGTTAATTTACCAATTTCTTCCAGTCTTCGACGCCTTTTACATTACAATACCAACAGTATTAGAAATTGGGATTATGTGGTGTATTAGCTTTAATTAATCGATCAGAGAAAAATATTAGCTCAATTAATTTTATTTTCCTTTTAAAAAAAAAAAAAGTAGACAACCTTACCAGGCAATAAGAGCATTTCACCCTCCCATTAGTGATGTCTTTAAATTCCCCGCTATCAACGACTTTTAAGCACATTTCTTCTTTATACTGACAAAACCGTTCCTATTATATACATACATTTATATAATTATGAATAGAAATGAATTCTTAATCAATCAAGAAACCTTTTTAAAAAAAATCTCATACCTCTGTTTGGTTAATATGATAATCGTTTATAGCATTAGGACCTCCAACAACCATAATATTTCCTTAGCAAAAAAATAAGCAAAAAAAATCTATCGAAAATTCTAATAACATTAAACCTACCAAGATTAATAATCTGAGTTTTCATCAAGCAATAATAAGGTAGGTTGTTTCATTACAAACCAAATTTTAAGGATAAGGAGTTTATTCCTGCTTCAAAATTGTATCTAAGGCTTTATACCATTTACGAACGTCACCATCACCAAAGAGAATAAAAATACAAAAGTTCAATAAAAGACAGTATCGTTAGTTTAATCATAAACCTTACAAGAGATGCTGCTGCTCCATTGCCTGGAAAATTTTTTTGAAATGGTTTTTCACGATGTATTGCGAAAAGCTGGAACATTATAAGTGCGGAACTTGAGCACTGGTAACCGCGAAATACTACAACTCCAAAGACTAAAACAAAATGTATTCCATAATTGATGAAATACTTTTAATGGAAAATAAACTTCTCAACAAGAAAAACTTTGAAGCTCTTACGCCAAAATATAATGGACGACTATATCACAAAAAAAATATTATTAAGGTAACATTGATTATTATCAAATACTATTATATTTACAGTGGTGTGCAAAAAAAATGACAATGTTTAAAATTGTGATGGTTATACAACCATTGTACTAATTAAACATCTCAATAACCTCCTTGCAATATCATAATATTGAATTAAAAAATCAATTAGAAGAATATTTGATATATTTTTTTCAAAATAACCAAATTACTTAGTAAATTAACTAAAATGCTTTGGATAATTATCTTTCTAAAGCATTTTTTACATTTATTCTTCAATTTTTTTAAAGAAATAAAAAAAAAATGCCTTACAATTTTTTTTATAAAACAAAAAAATTTTAGAAACCAGTTTTTAATATAAAATTAATAAAATTAATCAATGATGGATGATAATAACCAACACTGTATGAATTATTATCTGATGATACGAAGAAAGATGGATTGCCATTTATTGTGACAACATTTTTGCTCGTATTAAGACGTGGAATGAGTCTTCACCAAATATGGTTTGATTTTGATCGTGGTTGACAACAAGTTTTCTAGGTGGTTCGAATATAGCTTTAGAATGGGAATTCAAATGTATATAGTAAATAAAATTGTTAAATAAATTTTTAAAATAAAAGTTTTGTATGGCAGAGGGCTGAATCAAAAAATAATTTGTATTCCGAACTTTGAACTTGAAAAAATTGAATTGTTGTTCAGGATTTTAAAAATTGCTTATATTTTTATCGCTATATTAGAATAAAACCCTTTTTTTTTTAAAAAAAAAAAAAAGTTTATCAAATTCAAATATCAATGTGAAAAATTCTACTTACAAACCTCAACATAAAATTCAAATAATTTTTTGTTTCTGCTTGCTTTGGAATTTTCGTTAAACCCATGAACGGTATATGGCCATGGTCTATTTTGTAGTAATGTAGCTTTATAAACTAATTTCTTTGGGTAAAAAATTAATTGTTTGAGAATTTGTGAATTTTTAGTATGAGTACAGCTCTTTATAAAGTACCGTTTCGAAACCACAAAAAATATTTTATAGATTATGTAGCACAATCAAGTATTTATCGTATTAAATACTTTTTAATGCTATGGGTCTAAAGAGAAAAAAACAATTCTTATCTAATCTTATCGAAACTCAAGGTAAAATCGAAGCATTTTTTTAACAATTTTTCCTTCCCATGGCTTTGTTACGGAATTCCTTAAAAATATCAATATGGTTGCGGCTGAATGACGGATGTACAATTTAATTGATGATGTCAAAAATGGTCAATTTGACATATTATATTCCATCAGTCCGAGAGTTCGAACTATCTGATCGATCAGATTTTTAGGCGCAGTCAACTTTATATTATCATCAGGAGTAGTACTATTATACTTGAATATTATATAAGCAAACATATTCATTTCCATAATGAAATATATCACCATATTGGCAGTTAAAAAAAGGCTAGATTTCGATTGACGACTCCAGGACAAAGATATATGGGAGGTTTGCTAGGAAAATAGGGCTCTGAGAATTTTTTATTAAAATTTTAATTTTTATTGCATTTTAATCTAACATTATCAAATATTAAAATGAATGCCTAGCAAACCTCCCATATTGTTTTAAGAATCACAGGTTTTGTGATTTACTTAGGATACGAAACAATAAATTTAATAATAAACTTTTGATGACTATTTTTATTGAGAAATTTTTCGCGTAAAGAGCGTACCATTTATTTAAATTAGTAAAGTCTGTTACGTAAAATTTATTAAAATCGCGAAAACCATTGAAGAAATCATTTCATATATAAAATATGTAAATAATAAATTTTTGTTTAAGCCGCATCCGTTCAATTTATTATCTATTCCTATGATGAAAATAATAAAAAAAAAATTCCTCATAATAACCATTAATTTTATCTGAACGACTTTGATGTTGTAATAAATTAGGATATTAAAAGATGTTTTATGTTTTCTGGCAGGACTCGAAATGTATAAAATAGTTCATCTCTGAGCTTCGTAGAATGAACCGAAATCAATTGCGTCTTAGATAATACCGGCCGAAATTCTAGTATACTTTGACTAGCCTTACATAAGTCCGGCCCTGAAAAAATGCGCGTGAATTTTTTTTAGATCTTACCTCGATTTATATTGAACGGTTCCTATAGATATATGTTCGTTATTATGGTATTTCGAGGAAATATTTTTATTATAAAAAAAATTTTTTTTTCTTTAATTAAAAGCTTATTTTTATAGTATGATTTGTTATAAATCTTCAACCTATTATAACAACGTTACAATCCTTATCATGGTCTAAAATGTGAATTTATTGATCAACAAACGAATATTTGTTGAGAGTAAGGATAAACCAACCTACTCACACTTACGCAATAAATATAGTATTGTTATAATCAACAGCAAATTTCAAAATTTTACAAAAAAATTATTCGGTAAAACTAGTATGGATAATAATAATAATAATTAAAATATTTTTTTTTTTAAGTTTTCATTATTGATTTTCCTCTCTCCCCGCCAAAAGAGCTCTTAGTCTCGTAACCTCTGTTTCTAATTCGTCGACATGTCGTTCTAGCTGATTATAATAGGCACGAAATCTTGTCCTTGATCTCCTAGCCGCGAGACGATTTCTCTCTCTTCGCCTTGCAACACGAGCTTCTTCGTCCATAAAAGTACGTTGTGAATTCCTTCTTCCTCTCCCCCGAGTCGATCGATTATTATTAGGTACCTCATCGGTAGTCGTATTGCTATAGTTTAAAGCAGGTGTTATAATACAATTTGTTTCACCTGAAACCAAGCTCGTTGATTCTTCAGGTCCAGATTCAATGGGTTCAAGGGAATTGGCTTCAAGGAAAGGAGGTATTTGAACGAGATAATCCGTAAATACCACGCGTGGTGATTCAGCGACTTCAAAATTTTGATAAAGTACCCCTGGTACGGTTGTAGGAGGGGAGGGGACAAAATAACATTGAGGTATTAAGAAATTTACCGTCGTTGAAGGTTCTTCCTCGGTAAATGAATTCCACAAAAACATATCAGGGTCAATGATTTGTTCAGACATTTACAATATTTACGAGATGATGATGATTTATAATAGAGAATTATGGAAGTTACGATCGTATTCAAGACCAAGGAATATAAGCTGGAATGGATTGGATTGAAGAACCTTTTAAGAAATTAATTTTTTTATTTCTTTCGCATCGATTTTAAAAATAAAAAATTCGTGAGAATATGATCTTAATGCGGACAGTCACTCGTGCAGTAGATACGGTCAACATGATGCTGATGTAAGTTTTTTATATATATAGATTTATTTATATTTGTTGCTTCATTTCGATTGATTTGAAACGCGAAATCATTGCATCATATATCCATCAATTCTCGATGATGGTATTCTACTCTCATCATTAGTAATCGACTCCATCTTGCATTTAGAAATTCATCGTCACTTAAATCAATATCTTGATTCGACACGTCCAATTAAGATTTTAACATTACTAATACATTGGTTTGAGAAGAAATCACATTGGAATTTCTCGGACTTGAATCCTCTTATAACAATATTATAAATTTATTTCAGATTTTCTCCACTTTTATACTATATTCGAGTTTTCATTTTCAACATTTTCATTCCTTGCATGATAGTTTTTAATTTGTCGTTCTAATAAAGCACGTTGTTCTTCACAATTCCTATAGCTATTTGTTTTTTTGTCCTGATTTCATTGAATATTCAAGTTCTTTATTAACTTTAGAATTTATATAACGCAAGTTTTTCATCCAATTCACTTTTGAGTATTCTGCAAACCTTCCTGAAAATCTTTTAATAAGTCTCGAAGTTCCTGATCGATCAAACGTAAAAACTCGTTTTCTTTTCGTATTCCTTACGTAAAATATTTTAATCCGCTTTTTCCCATCAAAAGAACGTCAAGCAATGCTCGTAAATCGTCAACTTTTCCTTTTATTGCATATTTTCTTTGTTAGGTCAATTCTTGTAATTTGGAATCAGAAAATCCTTTACTTACTGAAAAATTAATTTCAACTTTAGATAAAATTTTCTCTAACGTTTTATTACGTGCTTGAGATAATTTTTTCATTCAAGATTTCAGATTCTTATTTTTTTTTTTTTGTTATACCTATAACATAGTGTACAGCAGTTTGATAATCATTTTCAACTTCTTGTCCTTTTTTACGTTTCAATGAGTTCCTTTTGTTTTGTAATAGGGTTTGTCTCTAATTTAATAATTATCTTCATTATCTAACATTAAGCTTTTTGATCCGTTACTAACACGCTCCAATTCTTCTTCAAAAATTTTGGCTTTCTCTTCAAATTCCTTGGTTTTTCGTGCCTGCTTTCAAGTTCATCATATTTTGATTCCAATTCTTTAAATCGACTTGATGAAAATTAATGCTACCATCGTCTAAAATTCCTTTCTCTGTCAGTACATCATCATCATTCCTACTTATACTTCAGCGAGTTCAAGAGCTCTACTAATGTTAGTTCCTTTTCAAAAAATTTATCTTTTGTTTTCGCGCTTTTGTTTGAAACTTCAATCAATCTACTTGTAAAATAGCAGAATCTGTTCTTGCCTTTATGAAAGCACATTCTATTTTTTTTTTTGTCATAGCATCCGCGAGTGAACTGGTAGTTTCTTCCTGTGAATTCTCGAGCAGATTTTAGGCTTGATACTGTATCTCATGTTTGACATGATTATTATCTTTGCAGCTTCAGAAGAATAATTTTCTTCATTATTTGAGCGTGAAGTGTTTAATAATTCTGTTATCCCTTAGCACGTACTGCATCAATATTCTTTGAGTTTTTACACAACAACCTTTCCGTTTCATTGGGCACGGTATAAATTTATCATTTTGATCTAATTCGGCCCTTAGCCTTGCTGATTTTTTTTCCAAACCAACAAAATCTTGGCGGAATTGCCTCCATAATGATGCCACTTCATCCTCACGTTCATAAGCACCAAAGGAGCATAGTTGGACTTTTCAAAAGCTCTTTATTTAATGTTGTATATTATCAATTTTTGCGCGAAGTTGAATGGTATTGTGGAAATTCTGATGTGGCTTCAGCTAAACGAGTTTGGTTTTCTCTTAATTGGCTTCGGCCTTTGTGACATGAATTTGCAATGTGGCACATTCCGCTAACGCTCGGTAGTGAGCTTCGGCCTTCGAAATTGCTGATTTTGCACGTTCTTCAGCAGCTTCTCGAGAAATTTATCTTAACCTGAAACTTGCTGCAATTGAAATAATTTATTTTGTAACCCCTATTTTTCCGTAAGAGCTAGTGTAAAACGTTTCTAGAAAGCTCAATGCTAGTGAGTTTTGATTCTGAAGGATTTACCAAAGAAAGCTGTTAGTTTTGCTTTAATATAATAACCCTTGAAGAGTTGCGGTTCTCGCACGATTTGCATTCGTTATTTTGTGTGAAGCGTTGCCTTTCTCTTGTTTAAAACCACAGACATAATCTCAAAACGATCAGAACCGTTTTCACCAATGTCCATGATTTTTTCAGAGTCAATTCCTTCGGAATTTCAAGGGCTCAAATGTAGGAGATTTTAAACTATTGTTACATTAATAATGTATATATTATTACGAAGAAGGAGAAATGGGCAATGCAGGATATTCAAGATAGATGGCGTTGTTATTATAGTTAGCATTTATTAGCATTTATTATTTTTTTTATTTTTTCTATTATTATTTTATTAGTATTATTTTTTTTTATTACATGTATAAGAAATTCGTCTAGCGATCATTAAGTTAGCGCAATTTGGGCCAATATTCACTGGCCATAAGTGTTCTCCGGCCAAATTAGTTTCCTGGACAAAAATGTCCTGTTAAAATAAATGGTGGAATTTTTCTTTAATAAAGTTTAACAATTTTTACAGCGGTTAATACAATTCACATTCGCAATAATAAATATATCATTCAATCCTTGAAAAGTACGATAATTCCCTAAACACGAAGACATCGTTATTGTTGCACGCAGTTCGAAACGTTTATAGTTATAAACAATAGAAAAGGTAAGCAGAATGTTTATTTATTTAAGTGTCTTTATTAATAACAAATGGAAAACCTAACATAAATCTACGTAAATAAGGTATTGCCTCAATCTTCGGCACTCTATACGATCAGATACGTAATTTATTATACACTTTCGTTATTCGTTACAAATAAAAGGAAAGGGGATATATGCTAATGTTATCTATCGTTTATATCTAGGGAATATATGAAACACTTGATACGTTCTATTCAAGCGAAATCCCACCTCTTTTATACTTAAATCCCAGCAGAACTAATTGTTCAGAGGCGATTTTGTCCTCGAAACCTCGAAACATAATGGCCGGATGCCATATTGGCCAGGAGACAATTTGGCCAGGGGACAATTGGGCCATTGATCTACATAAATACTAACAAAACTTAAATTTAAACTTAACAGAAATGGGACAATGCCCTGGAATTATTAGAACACGATAGAACAATTAAATTATTAATATTTCTTTGTAACAATAGTGTGGTAGCGTTGTAGAATTTTTAAAAAATTTATCTTCATGATACTGTACGTATCCAAGAAAGGTACGATCAGCAAATAAATATCTTACCTGAAAATAACGAACGTAAATGATAAAATAAATCCGTACCATACTTAACTAGACAAAATATACAAAAAATAAATTAATAATACCTGAGGAAAGCCAGTACTTTCTCCAAAATGTATAATCGTACTGGTAAAAAGATTCTTATAGGGATTGGAATCGTTTCGTTTCTAAAATCAAAATCGAAAATCGAATAGGCAAAAATCGATTTGCGATTCCAGTTTTGAAAATAAAAAATCGGTAAAAACGATGAACTTTTTTAATTTTTTAAGTATAGAACAGTTATAATAACTTAATTTTAATAATGTTAATTTATTAGAAAATAAAAAGCAAAACAAATTAATCAAAAATTCATTAAATGTTACCAATTATACATTATTAACAAAATATTAGTTTCTACTCAAAATTAAATTTATCTGATTTATTTTTATAATTATTTAAAAGACTTTTCACAGAGAAAAACTAATTGGAGCAGAAATTCTTACGAAAACTTTCTTACCGTCAATAAGGATATGGACCATTCTATCTTGACGCGTTTTATATCGTCATACGTTACCTTTTATAAAGCAACAAATCCCGCGGACTATTGGGAAGAGATTAAAAATGGCTTACCAAAAAAAATTCTATTATTGTAGAAAGATGGCCTCAAAAAATAGTTTAACAACTGGTTAGATCTTTCATCGTCGTGTGGTAGGAAAAAGGCAATAGAGAAATCAGAAACATGATAGGTCATTTTTTTTCAACATTTATCAACGATGAATCTATTTGTTATGCAGATTATTGATTAGATACTTTCGTAACAATTTAACTGAAATAAAATAAATATTATTCTAATTTTCGATTTCATAGTTAAATCAGTCTTTCGGTTACCATTTTGTGTCAAAGTACTGCTAAACATATTATATTTTTTTTTTAAAAGATATAACTAAATAGAGTTCTAATGAGTCGAGTTTTAAAGATAACTCAACTCAACACTAATTTTTTGAGTCAAGTCGAGTCAAGTAAAATTTTTAAAACTTTAACTCAACTTGAGAAGAATCAAAATGAAAAAATTAGATTGTATGATAGATAATTACTAGAATTATAAAGAAAACAAACGGTTAAAAATTGCTGCAAACTTTTCAATAATTTATTATACATTATTAATCTTTTTATTATATTTGTCTTTTTGTTATCTTTTATTATTTTTAAATTAAAATCTTATCCAATCCTTCATTATAAGTATCAAAATATTTTAACAGCTTAACAAGATGGATATACAATCATTTATTAGTGGTGGTAAATTAAAATTTATATTAAAAAAAAATAAATAAAAGTTACAATTATTGATATTATAACAATTAGTTCTCAATGATAATAAAGATCTATTTAGGCAACCACTACTGATTTCAAATAATACTCAATATCAATGATATTACACTAGTCAAAATCATTTCTTTCAGCACTAATACCTTTCAGTTGACATTTATCTGATTCGGTCATGTGATTCAGCAAAAATTCGGCTTGTGTTACAAAATTCAATAGTCATTTGTTACATCGTACGTAATTTAGCATTATTTTGGCATTATGACCTTTTGGTAAACATTCAGCCGATTCCAACATACTATTTGACAAAAATTCAGCTTGCGTTACAAAATTCAATAGTCATTTATTACATTGTGCGTAATTTAGCATTATTTCAGCACTATGACCTTTCGGTAAACATTCAGCCGATTCGGTCATACTATTTGACAAAAATTCAGCTTGTGTTTAAAATTCAGTACAAAAATTATAACAAATCTACTGTCATTTGTTATACCATACATAATTTAGCATTTTTTCAAAATTAAGACCTTTCGGAAAATATTCAGATGATTCAATATGACAAAATTTCAGTTATATGACATGAAAATTATAACAAATTGACTGTCATTCATTATATTGTATCTAATTCAGCATTATATCAGTCCAGTTTTGGTTTATTATGAAAAATTTATATTACAAAATAAAAGTTAACGAATATGAAATTTATGATTTATCAGATTTATGGCTATATAGGGCCTTTGCAATAGAAAGGAGAAAACAGCCGAAAAAATCAAAAGTGAGTTAATACTAAATTTGAACATATTTCAGCATAAAAATCATATATGGCATATAAAGTAAAATTAATTTTTCCCAGCCGTTTCCCCCCTTTCTATTGCGAAGGCCCCATATATTCAACGGTATTTAGACGAATAGAAATTTTATATTTTTCTGGTACAAATCGACAAAGAATGTGTTGTACCAGAATAATACTATCACGACCATTAAGAAAAAATTCATTTTTCCATAGTTCAACATTACAAGTTTTTTTATCATCATCAATACTAAAATAATATCAAACTTTATATGTTTCTATTAGCTTATATCACAAGTAAATGCTAAATTATATTCTGCCGGTCTTTCCTCAAAATTGATTATATGCTTAAAAAATACTAGACTTGACCAGCATAATAGTCAATCTGATTATTTAATGTTATAAAATTCGCTAAAATAAATGAACTTTTCACATGATGAGATGACATTGCTGAGCCAAACACCTCTGAACCAATTCTACACTGACTGAATTTATTCATTGTAACATGATTAAATATGATTGAATCTTCAGGTTCATCATCGAATAGTATCTTGAAATTGTGTGTTTCATATGTTGCCGTATAGTATTCAACTATTAAATCAAGCATCGTCTTGGATAATATTACATCGAATTTAGGACTTAGCATTTTTCCAGGAAATGGTTCACATTCAGTAATGATCGATTTTATATGTTTCTCGAATTAGACCAAAATTGGTCTATTTCATCTGATGAATATTCGTAATCTTCTAATAATGGACCAACTACAGTTTGATTATCAAGCAAATCCAAACCTTTTGTTCAAATATTTACTAAACTACTGATTTCTCTAATACGATTATTATTTATTAATCTGTGCATTATTTCTGGCTCAATTTGTATAGTACTACTCAGTAATGAACCTAAATATTATTAACATATTTCATTATTTACTAATATATTTTGTTATATAAATCAGCAAAAAGAAAAAGAAGCTATAATTACCAAATATCCCATTCATATGTTCAAATGAGAAACATCAGAAAGTGTATAAAGAGACGAAATCATATGAGCATTCTCGTAAATGGATCGTTAAAAATCGAATTGGTCAAAGTATGATAACTGAAGTAATTCAGACCATCTAACGCTAGTATTCTTTACAAATCACTTTCTATCAGCATCTGAATTGCAACTTTGCCAGCCAAGTGCATGCTCTCGATGTTTTAATAAATTCCAGGGAGTAAACCATTTATTTATATTAATCATTCCAGTAAAATTATGTTGCTGATTTTCATAATTTGCCTTCTTTTCGCACCTATAATATAACACCAATGCCGAAATATAACCGCAAAATTTTCTTGCTGTGGGAATATCACATGAAATAAGGATTAATACTGCATAAATTCTCCTTCTTTCTTGACATTTGTATGTTCGATTTAAAATCATACCATTCTAAAGTAACTCTAATTCGTCAATAATTGGTGCCAAATAATGGTTTATCTTATGTAAACTTACTTCATTCGGGCTAGGCAAAACTCTAAAAATTAGTAAATTTTCACGCTTGAATCAAATGTTCCTTAGAAGATTTCAAATTGCGGCATATAATACTTCAGTATTATGGATTGTTCTGTCAAAGGGTTGAAACCAATCCAAATTCATCATTAATTCCAAATGTAAATCAGCTACATCAGGTCTGAAAAATTTCGGTGAAATTTCTGAATCATTTTCTTTAAATGTCTTTCAAACTTATCCATCATATATGTCAGCCAATATGCTATCAAAACTTTTTCTATCGGTCTAATGATGTAGATAATTTTTGAAACCTTGTTGACAAAAC